CCAAGAACGCAGCTGCTCCTTTGGCCTATTCTTCAACTTTGCTTACTACTCCCCTTGGCCTACCCGCCCCCTTAGCTACGCCGCTGATCCAGCACCTCTTTCATTTAATCAAATGTAAAATGATATATTATAATGACGAATTACAAAACTGTTGAAATTGAATGCAAGTTTTTACAATGTTTGTGTTTGTTAATCTGGGGGTCTTGACTATCCTGGATGAATATCTGCGGGAATGCACATTCATTAGCGGTTAAGAGTTTCCATTGAGGTCCCAATTCCAAGCCGACACACTTAAAATTAAATTGTTGGTCCTCGATTTTAAAATTAGGCACTAAAATGGTTTCAAAAACTTAAATTACTTACATAATTTACTACATATAACTTCTCAGGCAACCGTTTAATTATTTCTGGATCTTCTATGGGCACTACGGCTTTAAATTGAAGAAATTCAATTGTTATAAATACGGAAATGGTTCTAGCTTCCCATTAAATGGAATATCTTTACCGTTCCTACCCGTACAAAGAACTTTTTGAATCAGAATTTATTTTATTTAATATTTTATTGGTGCTTCCCGCAGTTAAATATATACATATTTAAAATAGATATTGCTAATAAAAACACTCTTCAATCGGCATTGAACAAAATAGTGCTATTAAAAAAACATTTGCAGTGAAAAAAGGAGTTCTACATAAACAATTTTGTTAGATTACCAAAAAAATATTAATACTAAAAATTCATTTTATTAGATTTTCAAAAAGTAATTCTATTGAGTCCCAAAAATAATGCCATTACTAAGATGACCCAAAGTTATGCTACTGAAAATATATCTTAATAACATATGTATTTCGTAAGAATGCAAAAAGTAATGCTAGTGAAAATACAACCACAAAAAATATGAGGTACAATATTCTAGCATAATTTTTTAAAAGGATACCAAGGATTTAAATAAGTGGCGAATTGACTAGAAGTAGAAGTACCATTAAATTTAGAAACCGTTTAAAGCTGACTATTAATTTGAATCTTAATTTGTTGTAGCTTTGAGGATTCAAAGAATATGCGTTGTTATAAAAATTAGCTTTATTAGGTTTGCAACTGAAATTTAATTTGTGGTGTCAGGGAACAATACATTTTCAAGCTTTTTAAAATATCCAACCAAGAGAAATCTTTATTTTTGTAAAACATTTATTTGCTTTAAAAATAACAAGCTTTTCAAATGACTTTTGATAAATTTTGGTTATTTTTGCGATAAGCGTCCCTGAACAGCTAAATAGGCACTTTATTGGTCCATAAGAAGGCAAGGTGAAGTAACAAATTTCCCAGCAACTTCAATACATAATTGAAGACAACGGCTACTGTTCACGGAACCAGGAGCGATTGTTTTCCAAAGCGAGATAGGCAAGGAGCAGATAAATCTCCCATGTAAACGAAGGTGCATCAGTTTGTTTCTCTGGGTGGCAGAATAGCTTTACAGTTCGCCACGAGGACTTTCGAGGACAGCGCTGACCAAAATCCTCTTCATGTGGAATGAGGAATATCATTTTAAGGCCGCGTAGCGTTTGGGGCGAACGTTGGTGTTTCGCCCTTACCTGATCTTCGGGAGAACCTGCTCCAGATGAACTGGTAAGGGCGAAACAACCAACATTCTCCACAAATGCTTCGCCGACTTGGAGCCATATTACTGATTCCTCATGTAGCGATGTCTTTTGGCTTGCTGGTTCTGTACTCCGACATATTTTGGTCAATGATATCCTCGAATTCCTCGAGGAAAGCGGTTAATCTATTCTGCAAACCATTCTCGGGTGAGACATTATGATGCACCTTCCTGGACTTTGGGCTTCATCTGCTACTTGGCTAACTCGCTTTCCAAAATAATGGCTTCTGGTTCCTGAACGGTTTCTAAACACTTTCGACATTGATTATGAATTGCAGTTGCTGGGAAATCGTGTTACTACACTGCTGAAGTCAATCCTAAATTGCTGTCTAACCTTGGGGCTTCGGCGGGACTGATCCAATATCTTTAACATCAAGAAAAACGGGACGCTCTGGGTTAAGCTTTTTCAGTTGCACTTCTTTAACAGCTCTACAGTTATCTCTGGAACGTCGTCTTCCGAAAAATTTTCCGTGATCATTTCATCCTGGTCACGTTTCCTGAACAGCGGCTCCACAGCATCGATTTATAGAGTTAACTCTTCAGTTACCATAACATCCGTTGCCTGTGTCGGAACAAGAACTTTGGGCTCTAACAGGTCGATAAGGACGTCTCGATTTGTCTCATGGTCTTTTGCTAAGCTCAATAGCTTATCAAACTCTTCAATATCGCTGTGATCTCCAGGGTCCGCTCGTCTTTCTCATCAATAGTTATGTGATCAAGGACGATTTCTCCACCATGAACGTGACGATACTGGGTATCATTGATAGACTTTTCCAGTTGGAAAGTGCACCCGCAGCATTATTTTCTTGATGAATTCATTTCAAGGAAGACCTCTCGGAAATAAGGCACTCCAGTACTTTTTGAGGTAGAAATTTGGATTTCTTCTGACCTTCCAAGTGCTTTCAAATATCCAGGGATTCTCCGGATGTCAAAATTCAAAACGACCCTATAAAGACAAAACTTGTCGGGCGACGCTTTTTGAATTGGGGAATGAAAATGGTTTTAAAACACTATTTTTACCTTATTTAATACAGATTACTTACCAGGACAAAATAAGTGCAGAGGAGATGTCTGTTTGGAAGGGTTTGTTTATTTCTGGATCTTCTGTTGGCACTAAGGCGCTAAATGGAAAAAACGTACGATATAAATTCATTTTCACTGAAACAATTAGTAAAGGGTCTACCTGTCCAGAGACTTCTTTAAATCAGAATTCATCCGTTTGTCCTTCCATCATTGCTGCTTCTTAATTTACCTATGTCCTCAATGTCAACTGTAGTAACCTTCGTCAGCATATCATCGCTGATCAAGTGTTTTATAAACTCTTCGTTCTCCTCTGAGCCTGAATCAGATGAATTCTTGCAGTCTGGCGTATTTCTTTACCAATTCGACGAGTATCCACTTTTATTTTCGACAGACGTGACACCGCGCGAGAAAAAATATTATACTGAATTGTCAGCCGTCAAGTTTCAACAACTCTATTAGTGTGGCTGCGTTAGCAATTGTCGTTTGATTCCTATCGAAAAAAGTACTTAATTGAAATTATGTTTAGGATTTTCCTAAACTGCTGGAAAACTTGGTTAGCTGGTAATCAGGTGCTCAACAACAACAACAACATTGAGGCTGTTGAATTGCTAAAGTCTAGAGTTATTACCTTATTTATAAAAGTCATGGCAACTCTGTAACATACTAGTAGGGTATATTGCATTTGGCGCAAACCGCCCAAGCTGTGGCGCCAACGATTTATTGCTAGAAATAAAGATTTAAACGTACATATAAGTATTGGTTTCGTCATAACCTATCGATGATCTAAAAAAAATATCCATGCCGACTCTAACACTTATAACGCTAAAATCTGTATGTCGCCCACATTTTGTAACTATTTTTAAAAGCTTAATAAATAATAAATAATAACAATAAATAAAATAAATTGATTATTTCCCGAAATATCAAATTTTTTCACCAGCAGCCAGGTGATCGCCAGGAACTACAATGGAATCGCCGCCGCTCCAGTGATTGCTCCCGTGGCTGCTCCAGTGGTCGCCAAGTACGCAGCTGCTCCTCTGGCTGCTCCTTTGGCCTATTCCTCCCCCTTGGCTTACTCCTCCCCCTTGGCTTACTCCGCCCCCTTAGCTACGCCGCTGCTCACGCACCACTGTTTATCTAAATCAAACTGTGATCACCTAGGAAAATACATATAAATATAATACAAACGAATGTTGCCACAAAGAGTTTAGTTTTTTATATGGGTTGGTAAAAAGAAATGTCTTGTTTTAATATCCCGCCCCTAACTTAAACATAATTTTAGTAAATTTAGTTTGTTACGCGAATGTGCCATGCCCACCTTAACGCCCACTAACCGTCCATATGAACGCTGATATCTCGAACGCTGATTTCTCTCACTAGATCGATTCGGCTAGTATATTGATCAAGAATATATATTGTATATGTACTTCATGGGATCGGAAACACTTTCTTCTACCTGTTCCACACTTAACCCTAAAAACTATATACTTTTTACTCTACGAGTAATGGGTATAAAAATGCTTACTAGTGATACTTTATAAAGTACGGTAGTAACTCTGGTATTCAGCAATTTAACAGGTTCGATGTTGTTGAATTACTAGAACGTTTGAAAATTGAGTTTGTATGTAGCACATGATCACCAGATGACCAAGATTTCAAACAGTTTAGGGAAGATCCTAAACATGTTAGTACCCGTTACTCGTAGAGTGAAAGGATATATTATACTTGGTGAAAAGTATGTAACAGGTAGAAGGATGGAGACTCCCTGTAGAATATGTATTCTTGATCAGCATTACCAGCCGAGTCGATCAAGCCATGTCCGTCTGTCCATGTGAACGCTGTGATCGCTGAAACTACAAGATCAAGTTTGTTTCGTGAACATGCCACGCACACTCTGGCGCCTCGAACCGCCCAAAACTGCGGCTCCTACAGTTTTAGTGCTCGAAAAAATGTTAACGCCCACAAACCGCCTACAAACTTTAAAAAATCGTTAACTATTAAGAAAGAGAATTGGGAATTCAGATTTAAATCTCATAGCTTTGTTAGCAAACATACCACGCCCACTCTGACGCCCACAAGCCGCCCAAAACTGTGGCCAACACAATTTTCATAATAGAAAACAAATGTATTTGCCTAGTCAACACTTATCATCAATACCTACCCTAAACAATATATTGAAATCGAGGGTAGGCTTCTTCACAATATCGCTTTGCTGCTTGCATATCCTTCTCGTCCTTTCTCGTCTTATTAAGAACTGTTTCAGCTAGGGATTATCAAACGGCAGCCACACTGAAAGAGTTGTTGTTGTTGAAAAATTTGACGTCTGACAATTCAGTACAATATTTTTTCTCGCACGTTATCACGTCCGCTGAAAATTAAAGTAGATACTCCTTAAAATTTGAAAGGACATACCCCTGCCTACAAGAGGAGTTTATATAAGTAATTTTCAGCGATGATATGCTGAAGTAGATTACATCATATGACAGTGGAACAACAGTACATTAGGCAGCCGCAATGAAGGACGCTAAGCAAGCCATAAAGACATGATGCCAACGAAGGACAAGGACAAGCGTATGAATTCTTAGTCAAACAAGTCTTTGGACAGGTAGGCACTGTGATGATAGTGTTTTCCGTACTTACAACATCGATTTTCTTCCATTAAGCGCCTTAGTGCCGACAGTAGATCCAGAAAACCCTTAGCCCTTGCAAACAGACACCTCCTCTGTACTTCTTTTGTCCTGGTAAGCTATCTGCACTAAAAAAGGTAAATAACTTGATTAATAAAACAAAATTTTAGTACACCGATCTTAAAAACGTCGCCGCAAGTGATCGTCGACAAGAATCCAATGCCACCACCAAATTCATCTAGGATAGTCAAGCCCCGCCGATAACCCAACAATTACAAGGTGAAACAGGAGCCGATAGAACGCAGGTCGGTGCCAAAACCTGCTGCCATCGGTATTGACACTAAGGTCGTTAATTACAGCAACTTCTGACACCATCCCCATCATATGCCATTTCTAGTCCATGAGAAGAGTGCCAACCTAACGCCCACGAAACCAAGAGCCATTGATCTTAAACGAGAGATAGCCAAGGAGCAGATAAAGCCCTGATGTCCAGGAAGGTGCATCAAATCGTGTCTCCCGGAGAATGATTGGCAGACTAGCTCCACATTTCACCTTGAGGATGTCATTGACAGAAACATGTCAAAATACCCTTTAATAACTAGCCGAAAGCAGGTACAGTGTCTTCAGCATTTCGTCTCCCTCAGCCGTGGTCATGGCAAACACTTGGATCATCCCGACTCGTAGAGTCTAGCTGACACTCCGGGCATTTCCTTATTCACATATTAGACGAAATTCATTTCACGAAGGAGTGGTTCTGAGGATAGTGCGCAGACCTCACTAAATTTCTGCAAATTTACGGTCCAAGGTTAGTTGGCACCGTAAAAGTAACGTAAGCATATGAGTGTAAGAGCCTTGAAATTCACCATTTCGATAGTCTTCGTCACGATATCGCTTTGGGCTTCGGCCAACATTGCGCTACTTCTTCAGTTGATAATCATCACAATGCCATTGACTCATATCCAGCCTATCTGATATCGCACTTCGATCACAGCTGACATAGATGTTGGGCATATATGTCGGGTGTGATCGAAGTGCGACATGAACAATGAAATGCCCGAAATGACGGCTAAACTTTTTGAATCGGGAATGATGCCAGTGTTTCCCATGACCACGGCTGAGGCGGATGAAGTGTTGAAGAAACTGTTCCGGCTTTCGGCTAGTTAGTAAAGGCTCGAAAAATTTACCGAAATAAAAAAAAATGTTCCAAGTTCAAGCAATCATTTATAGAATTCACTTTCATAATTCCGTGTAAAGCGCTTGGGGTATAAAAATGTGACTGTGGACGGCAGTTCACAGGAAACTACAATATATACCTGCGAATTTGAAAATCATGTATGACAGTCCGACCAAAAAGAGTGATAAGGCAAACGAAAGTATTATGATTTTCTTTGGTACAAAGACCTTTAAAAAATAGATTGGAAAAAATCCCATTTAATCTTTTACAAAATATTATAAAATGTGGGTGCTAGAAAGGTTTTAGTGTTATGAGTGTTACAGATGACGTGGTAGCCTGCTGAACCCTACCTACGATGCGCAAGAAACTCAAGAATCAATATGCCAGGTCCCAACTTTCTAGCTTTTATAGTTTCCATGATCTTTCCGTTTATACGGACGGACAGACGGACGGACACTGCTAGTTCGATTCGGCTAGTGATTTGCCACGCCTTCTTTAACGCCTACAAACCGCCCACAAACTTCAAAAAAATCGTACATATGAGCGCAAATATCTCGGAAACTATTAAAGATAGGGAATTGGAATTCCAGATTTTGATTCCGTAGCTTTGTACGCAGCGCAAACTTGTCACGCGAGTATGCCACGCCTACTCTAACGCCCACAAACCGCGTAAGCCTGTGGCGCCCACAATTTTCAAGCTAGATCGCTTGAGATCGCGGGTGGGTGCGCATTTCAATCTCGCTTTGCTGCTTCCCTTTTCTCCTTTCAGCTGAGTATCTTATAGTCGAGGTTCCTTGATTTACTAAAATGATTTTTATGCTAAAGGCGGGATATTAAAACAAGCCATTTCTTCTTTATCAACCCAAACAAAAAGATAAACTCTGTGGGCAACATTCGTTTGTATTAAATATATGATTTGTAGGTGATCACAGTTTGATTTAGATTAACAGTGGTGCGTGAGCAGCGGCGTAGCTAAGGGGGCGGAGTAAGCCAAGGGGAGGAGTAAGCCAAGGGGGAGGAATAGGCCAATGGAGCAGCCAGAGGAGCAGCTGCGTATTTGGCGACGACTGGAGCTGCCACGGGAGCAATCACTGGAGCGGCGGCGATTCCATTGTAGTTCCTGGCGATCACCTGGCTGCTGGTGGCGGTCACGACTGGAGCAGGAGCAGCGACCACTGCCGCGGGAGCAGAGTAGGCCAGGGGAGCAGTGTAGGCCAGAGGAGCACCCAGGAGACCGGGCTTGGCAGCAACGCAGGCAACGATGGACAGGATGACAACAGCCTAAGGATAAACAACATTTAGAAAACTAGACACAATATTAAATCTTAAAACTCACGGATTTGAACATTGTGATGGTTGATTTGTGGTGCTTTCGATTCGAAAACTTGAACTTGTGTGATGCCGTTCTACACTTTATGTCGCTATTTATACACCAAAGACTGCGTTTGTGACCTCAGGCCATCGAATCCAATGGCCACCAACAGATATTCCACATTCAGCAGTGGGAAATCACATAAAGTATGGTTAAGTGCAAACGGTAACGGGAGACTGTCGCAGCATTTAAATGAAGTGAATGCGCACATGAGTCCGAGGGAAGTAAGGTTTTGGGTATAAATATGCTCCACCAAGAGCAGTTGGACATCAAACAGTTTCTAGCCTTCCGAAGAAGCAAATCAAAGAAATATAGCCACCATGTTCAAATACGTAAGTTCTTCAAAGAAGCAACTTCAGAGGATTATATTAACTCATTTGGTTTATCCTTAGGCTTCTGTCATCCTTGCCATCATTGCCTGCGTTGCTGCCAAGCCCGGTCTCCTGGGTGCTCCTCTGGCCTACACTGCTCCCCTGGCCTACGCTGCTCCCCTGGCCTACGCTGCCCCTGCTCCAGTCGTGACCGCCACCAGCAGCCAGGTGATCGCCAGGAACTACAATGGAATCGCCGCCGCTCCAGTGATTGCTCCCGTGGCTGCTCCAGTCGTCGCCAAATATGCAGCTGCTCCTCTGGCTGCTCCTTTGGCCTATTCCTCCCCTTTGGCTTACTCTTCTCCGCTGGCCTATAGTGCGTTTGCAGCTGCCGCTCCAGTTCTTCTGTAAGAACTTTGACTGACCGATAAATATATACAAATTAAACGAAATCGAAAGAACTCCAAGCGTTTTATTGGGCAATGGAGATACTGCGAAGCTACCGGCAATTTAAATTGAATTAGCTACTGTCAGCCAGTCGTGGCCATAAACAACAGTAGTGACTGCCCACTCGCACTCCACTGTTTCCGGATGCACATCACGTAGCCAGTGGACAAGTTATTGGGCACCGGCAGCCGTCGCTGGATGCGTGATATTTAAAAGTGGCCAAAATGGTTTGTTTTGATGTTGTTGTCGACAAAAATTTGTAAATATGTCAAGGTCGCTGAGCAGTCGAGGCCGGGCTAATGAACTTTTGAGTGCTAAGGGAATGAGGTAACGGAATTTAAATTATACTGTTTTAGACCCATCATGTTTAGATAAGAATATGGATTTTAAACAGGAATTTGCAGCTTTATATCTACTTTTTGCTTCCCCATAAACACAAAGAAAGTGCTTTAAAAATGTTTGTTTTCGAGTCGATCTTCCCAGATCCTAGATTCTGGAGGCTCTTGCGCACCGCATGCTTATTTCATCGGAGTGCCACGCCCACTCTAACGCCCACAAACGCCCATAACGCTAAAAACACCCAAATTTTTCAAGATTTTGTAAAAGCGTAACCTATTTACGATGGTTTTGATTATCAATATACATTAATATGGACCATCTATTAAGCAAATAAAGGAATCGCCGCTAGGTAGCGCAGTGGCGTAGTTTGCAATCTTGGGAACAGTCGCTTTGCTGCTTGCATATTTCCATCTCCATCGCACTACCCATATCCGGTATCTAGCGTTATCTCTTGTTTTAATTAATAATAATAACAATCCCCGTATTTTTTTTAAATTCATAATATAATGTCTGGCGCCATATTGTAGTGGTTTGTTATTTGTTGAAAAAATGCTTTGCACCGCTTTTTCATTTTGATTTAATTTAATGGCAGATTCGAAAGAGAACGTAACGACTCGCTAATGAATTAGCATTCAGGGTGCGCACTTCACCGACTAACTGTTAAAAGCGTGTTACTGTAGTACATTACTTATATACATATAGGATTGATCTTGCATCTTAAATTAGGTTAAAAGTAAAGCCACATCAAGGTTCCACAAAAATATTATTCAAGAGCGAATAACAAAAGCTAATAGGACGACTAATTAAACACTTATACGTTTTTCTTTTAAAATTTTAAGGGAAAATAAATAAAATATACATAGGATGTACATTGTACATTGTACATTGTACATATGTGAAATATTAAAAAAAAAGTCATAAGTCATATTTTTTGATTTTGCATTGTAGAAATTTATTACTACACTCACAAACTAAAGTCCCCCGATTCTTATAAAGTCTCCTTACTATAAAAATCTTTTGACAAGTCAGAAAAATATTATATTTTTCAGAAATATTTTCAAAATAAAATAGACAAAGCCCCCTTAGCTGCTTGTATATCGCTATCTCCCTCACACTCTCTTAGCTGAGTAACGGGTATTTGACAGTCGATGTCATCGCTTATATCGTTTTTCCTTGTCAAAATGCTGAGAACCTCGGCAACCTCAATTTTATTTAAAAAGATATGTCTCTGGCATGTTCAAAAGTGCCGCAACCGTCCGCTATGTGCCGTGGCGCTAGCACCTGAGGTACTAAAAGTTTCCTGGGACTCTATTTTATTTGAAACAGAGTAACAGGTATCTGATAGTCGAGACCCTCGACTATAGCGTGTTTTCTTGTTTTTATCGGATTTGAATAATTACCCTTTTATCAAGCCAATCTGCATGTAATTGAAAACCGTCTCGAATAATGTTAAATAAACATTACAGTCTTGAACGGTTTACAATTATAAAATATTCACTTGCATCTTTTCCTGCCAAAGGCTTGACAAAGAATTGCAACAATTCCGGAAACGATTCGAGCCCAAAAATATAATTACGAAAACGTAATCAAAATGAATTTATCTAGAAAACGACTTGCCTTGGTCACTTTCCCATTGTATGCGATAATTAAATATGCTGGGTTAAATCCATGAGCTGGTCACCGAACGCATCTAAGTAATCGGCAGGACCCTTTCACCTGGCAGTCACCACCTGTGAGTGCATTCAGTTTTCTGCCTTTATTTCATTTTAATTACATTGCATTTAAATTTTACATTTCTCGGGGCCATTTGATGGCCGGCTCCAGGGCTCTGATGGTCAAATCAGGCGTATGATAAATTGATTGCGAACGCATATACATAAGGATGTCCTTACTCATGCATGCATTTATGTGTACACTGAGCAGAAGAACACGAAATAAATTTAAGAACCAGCTTCTTATTTTAAAGGTGTTTTTGCTTTTAGTTGACTTTGCCTTAAAAATAAATTTTATAATAAAATATAATGGTTTATTCTTAAAATAATTTTATATTACGAAATGAACTTCAGACAATGTCTTATTATCAATAAATTGGTTTTCGTTTATCAAAAAATCCTTGTCTTTTTTAGGGTGGGGTTCGTGGTCTTAATCCAAGAATATTTAAGCTTTATTCTTGCCAAAAGCATTCTCAGTTTACGTATGAAAATTTTTCTTCATTACAGAATATTTTTCTTTCTGTGCATTAAGTTGCAGTGCAGATCTGCTGTGTTTGTCTGGCATTGAGACTTTTCTTCTTCGTCCTTCAAAAGCAAGGCTTTAATAAAATTTTACGCATAAACTGCCTTTAATTGAATTACATTTAATTATTTTGCCACACATTTTAGTGAGAGTTCATGGCCAGAATCATTTCGATTAAGCTTTTTCGTCTTGTTTCTAGTGTCTGATTTGATATGGCCAATATTATTGTCTTAATTATTACTTTCTCCCCTCTGCCACTTTGGTTCTTCCAGGACAACATTATTAAGCACTTTATTAATTAAGAATGGCAATGGGAATGTTAAATATGTTCTGGGGTAGAATGCGTTATAATTATATATGAGACTTCAAGCAAATGTCTATGGATAACAAGTATTTATTAGGGTTATCGAACAACAGTAACGTGGATTGATTTCTAATCATTTGCCTATTAAAGAAAATATTCTAAAATGCAGAACTTGCTTTAGTAGTCTGTCAGTTTATACGAAACAAAGTTATTTTATTAATATTAAATGTCAGCGGCTTAGGGACTTATCGCAATGAAATTATATGTATACCAAATTGGTTTCTCCTGATATTGCTTATTCATTCATCGAATCGATCTTGTTTTTAATACATATATTTATTACTTATACCACCCATTGTACCCACTCGCCAATATATTCGGTGTCGTCTTCCAGCGAATTTTCAGCCTACTTGTAATAGTTGATCATCTTTCGGATTCGCTTGCCCTTTTTCAAGCTGCGCTCGACGTTATCCTACTGCTGCTGCTGTAGTCCCAGTAGGCCGGACCTTGTTTTCCGTATCCTGTTGGTAACCAACTTCGTCCTCCTTAATTCCTTCGACATTGGTGCGGGACGCCACCTTGAACGACAAAAGATACTCGTTGGACCAGGATACCTTCTCCTCAATGCCGCGATGGGTGCGGTCAAGCAGGTTGGCCACCCCCTCATCATCGTAGTGGATAGCCTCCTTTTCATCGTTCTGCTTGAAGAGATCCTCGGTGCCAAAGCGAACGATATCCTCCAGCTCTTGCTTCGTTGAGCTGGCAGGCTTGCCGCTCACTCCCGGGCGCACCACAAGGTGGGTGAGCATCATCTTGTGCTTGGCCACCTACGTCATGCGCTCCTCCACCGAGTTGTGGCTCCCAAACCGATAGATCATGACTCAGGTGGAACAGTTCCTCGAGATGGTTCTGCAGCGGTGTGCCGGTGAGCAGCAGCTTGTAGAAGGTGCTGTAGCTGCTCAGAATACGGAAAAACTTGCAGCCCAATTGATGCTGCCAAGAAAGGTGGCGTCTATGGAGATCAACTCGTAGCTGATCAGCAGCACGTTAAACTTAAACTGGATGTGCTTGGCCGGCATCTTCTGGGTATTTACCTCCTCGAAGCACAGCTTGTTTCTCCGGATAACAGCTCTGGAGGCCTTTGAGCCCACATAGGTAATGCAGTAGAAGTCCGGAGCCCATAGCTCCAGTTCGCGCTCCCAGTTGACGAGAGTGGAAAGCGGTACGGATATGAGGAAGGGTCCGCGGCAGCGACCTTCCTTGGACAGGGAGTACAGGAAGGTCACCGTCTGAATTGTCTTGCCCAGGCACATCTCAACGGCCAGTATGGTGGGGATGCCCTGGTCCCAACTGTAGCGGAGCCAGTTGACACCCTCCAGCTGGAATGGATGCAACTTCGTGCCAGTTCCCTGCACGATTTCCGGCTGATCCTCTTATTTCTTCTTCACATCAGTGGTGGGCTTGCCCTTACCCCGATCCTTCTGGCTGGATTCCAGATTCTGGTAGAAGTCGCTGGCCCGCTTTAAGCTCGGAATGCCCTCGTTTTCCTTCTCCCATGTGGACTCGCTGTAGGTCAACTCCCGCCACTTTACCAGTTAAACAGTTCCGCCATCAGGTGGATTACACGCTGAGATATGAGCCACTCGGGCTTTACGCCCTTGTGATCGAACTGGAGCGGCTTTTCCATGTCGTAGTTTCTCTGGAAGTAAGCGACCATCAGGGAGTGGTGCAAAGCCAGCTTCCAATCGGGAATCCACTTGCAGTGCCAGTAGGTCATGTCGTGTCACTTGACGAAAAACTCACGCATCTTGGATCTTTTGAAACCCTTGAAAATGGAGGATCCGTCGGGGGACCATCGCCAGGACAATATCTTTTTAGCTTTTCCGGGCACAGGGCTGCAGCACGGACAGACAGTATTCTTCCTCCCGAATCTTGCGCTTCGCGGCCTTCTTTTTTAGGCGCTTGACCTTGGGATCACCGGAATCGGACTCTTTCTTGAAATGATAGCCACTAGCCTCAGATAACAGGATAATATACACTTTTTACAGAGGGTCACCCAAATTATTCAATGTTTATGGACGGGCTTTTTCGCGTTTATAAAAGTTTCTGAATTGGACAAGCTGTGGAGTTAAAATTAGCAAACAAAAATACGCGATAGAAAAAAAATACTAAGCATGCAAATACGGTACTACAAAATACTCTCCTCATGAAACTAAAATATGTGGGGTATTCTTGTTCTATCGAATTCCGGGACTCTCAGTGCTCCCGGAAGGATATAATCGATTACAACCTTATACTACCCTGTAGGTTACGTAACAGGAAAAAGGAAACATTTCAGATTCTATGAAGATTACGTGGCTAGTCCGTATGATCGATACCGGAAGGTATTGCAATGGGTTTTATTAATTCTTGAGTACGTGAAAACAAATTTCCCCCATTTCACGCAACTCAGAAAAATGTATGCATTTATTCATTCTCAACTCATGCACTGAAAAAAAAACCGGAACAATACCCCTTTAACATTGTCTCCTCAATTTTCACATATCACTTGTCTCATTTCAAAGTGATACGAATTCATATCAATATGATACAAAGCCATATAAATATCAAATGTTGATATGAATACATTAGGAGAGTCTGCGATGGCGACTACTATATATAGCCGCAGAATTGAAAATCTGCAGTGATGAACTGATCATAACGAAATGCATTTGAGGTTATTGCAAAGGAAACATGTCAAAAGTAGTTCCACGACCATGCCAAGTCCGAAACTGAATCTCAAAAATTAGTTTTTGGAGTACATTTTTGTAACACAAGAGGTGGGAATTCAAAGACTCATTAATTCTAAAATGTTTTCCTCTTCCTTTTTGCTATTGCGAAAATCTTTGCATCCCATTGACTACTCATCTCATTCAATACTCAGATAAATAGGAATTAACCATCCATTTACCATTAAACCATCTGTCTTACAGTTAGGCAGATGGTTTAATTGTCTGTTAGTTTATGCAAACAGCCAAATCTAGCAAAACTAACGCTTGAACACATCTTTTCGAAAAAGGACAAAATTCCGGACAATTTTTTCCGGATAACGACGTTAGAAAACAGACAGATCTGTCGAAAATAAGGACAAATGGCAGCACTAATTTATAATACCATGAAATGGTTAGGAAACGATTTAAGGGCTATGCATATGACGCTTTAATTCTAGAGAGTTAAAGCGTGTGATCTGGGCGTCGAAGCCTGCGTTTATCCCAAAACCAAAAACCAGCCGCAGAGCAACGAACCGGTGACCGCCGAAACATTTCAAAGACAAGCCACCAACAGCAGAAACACCGTCAACAGTCGGCAACCCCGACATCACCAACAGGACGAGGACAATGGATTAACTCAAACTCAAACCTTGTAACTGCCTGACCGCACATCCACTGACAGAGTGGGTGGTTGGGGATGGAGAGTGGGGCTGACGAGTGGGTGGCCAAAGAAGTGAGGGCCAGTTGATGGCCGCATGTCACAGACATTATGGAATCATGAACTTATGTGCACCTGTGCGTGTTTGCGGGGGATCAGGCGCGGGCCCCTGGACTCCATTTTGGTTATACCCGCGTGGACTTGTGGTCGAGGGCAGCGATTTGTGGTCAGATTGGAGATGGTTTCGTGACTCGGCTGGGATTTCATCGGAAGGATCGACTCCGAGTTAAAGGTAAGTGCTGTTAAATAATAAATTATGTAATATTGTAGCCAATTTCAACATAATATCTCTTAGAAAAGTGCAATGTACAATTTATACTATATACCTAATTTAAAAACTTTTACAAAAATTAAAGCTATTTAACATATCAATCAATGATGTTGTTTTTGAAATATTTAAAATAATCCTTTTAATTTTAATTTTGTTGCGGGAATGATATTAATTAAAACTTTTATTTAAGGGATCCGAACTTTTCACGCACTCATCACTGGTTCATGCCATTTCAATCATCAATCAAAGTGTTTTGTTACGACTTTTATACGTCATGTTCATGGCTCTGAGCCACCGCTTTTTGCATCCCATCAGATTCGTCCCGCTCCGTGCCATGTCTCCCCTATATCTCCTCCCAATCTGGGGATCCAGTCATGCGGAGGTGTGACTGTGACACATCAGACGACATTTATGGTGTCGTTGAGAAGGATTCCCATTACGGCCACCAGACAATCAATCACATGCGCACCGGAATCAATTGTCGCAGCTCCTATTTTCGTTTTCAATTTCACTTCGCTAAATATTTATGAGGAAAACAGTGGGGCCTTCGATTTGTAATCCTAATGAGGCGTAATTAGAAACATTCAATTACATTTCACTGGCATCAATCAATGACGGTTCTATGGCCAATCCGAAGAGGGGAACTTAAAGTAACCTAAGTTTCAATTTTCTAGCGCATTATTGGTAATCCTCCCCGACTTTACATCCTCTTCCCAAGCTCCTTTTTCTGTTTGTTGTTCCTGATTGCTGCTTAAACTTTTCCTTCGCTCTCGGCCCACTTGCTTGTGATTAAGCCTTATTGTAAAGAGGTTTTTGTACGCCTTTTGATTTATAGATATTGGATCATGCCGCTCACCCTCCTTCACCAACAAAGGGAACTGGGGCCTTTGTGGAGCAGGGAATACAGAGTGGTGCCCAAGTGTGTTAACTCTGGGGAGAGTAAGGTAGCAGGATAAGCAGTCTATGCAGTCCAAGGAATATGATAGGGTTGCAGCATCGGATTGTAAGTCTCTACTGGGGACTGAAATAATAAGGGAACAATGTTAGTCAAGACTTACAGCTTATGTTGCTTATAATACGTTTATAATAATTATAACGAAAGTAAATTAACTTGTAAAACTTAAAACGGCGATAGCAGAATGCGTTTTTATATATTATTGAGTATTAGATCGGTTCCTGCATTATTATTAAAATTTAAATATAATAACTTTACCAAATTAGACTTATACTTTTCCCTTGTGCCTAACTTTATTTTTAAATTAGTAAGATAGTTCCTAGATTGTATTCTTTTTGAAAGTGTATGTTGCGGAGCGCTTTGAAATTTCGATGATGCTCTACACCCATTTAGCGATTCTCACTTGTTCCTTTGTTGCATACTTTTAGGCGCGCGACTGAACTTGTTTACAGGGAAACTCTGGACCAAGGACCCTGGATCCTGTATATTGGCCCAAACAGTGGGCGCTGGCTATTCGGCATCCTTGACAGCCACACAATTGGCTGCCGCGTTTTTGTATCTCTCAGTCTTGTTTGTGTGAACCAAAGCGCCTGTGTTCTTTGCACAGAAAGAAACAGGTTGGGCCCCAACAATAAAATATATTCCCCATACCAGATATTAAATTCTTGGAAATCATTTTGTAAATAAATATTCCATCGATTTAAGGGTCTTTTCAAGCCCCTTACGGTCGCTCAGCTCAGTGTTAGTATATCAGAATTGAAATCACCTTTTCACGTTTTTTGCAGTGCTTTAGATATTTTTTCACAGTTTGAGGGGCGTTTAAATTTAATAATAATATTTTCTCTCTGTATGTTAGTGTGTGTGCTGTTGGCCAGCAAAAAGTTTGCGCACTGATTGCAAACTTGTTTCAATTGTTTCGTACACCAAACCGAAGGGAAGAACCCAGAAGACTCCCAGTGGGTGGATGGAGGTGGGCCGGATTGCGGACTGGTTTTTCCGCCATGAAAGTCAAGGCGAAAGCTCCGAGCTCCGAGGCCAAGGCAATTCGCCTGCATATTTGTGTGGCTTAGTTTCCGTTTCACAAACGAAACGAAATGAAACGAACGGCATAAAAACCCATTGAAAATTTGCATACGAAAATGAAATTCAAATAGGTTTCCCATGTCCCTCGCAATCAGTTCCGGCTAGTCCAATCAAAAACAAGGAAGAACGCTATAGTCGAGTACCTCGACTATCAGATACCCGTTACTCAGCTAAATGGAGAAATGCAAGCAGCAAAGCGAGATTAAAATGCGCCACCTACCGGCGGTATACAGATTTAAGCGTTATGGGCGTTAGAGTGGGCGTGGCAAATTTTTTTTTGGATCAATCGATAGGTATCGACGAGACCAATACATTTCAGTTACAATTTTTTATCTAGCATGAAAATTGTGGGCGTCACAGGTTTTTGCGGTTTGTGGGCGTTAAAGTGGGCGTGGCAAACTTTTTTTTAGGTCAATCGATAGGTATTGATGAGAACATTACATTTCAGTTAAAATTTTTATTCTAGCATCAAAACTGTAGGAGCCACAGTTTTGGGCGGTTTGTGGGCGTTAGAGTGGGCGTGGCACTCTACTGAAACAAACTTGCGCTGCGCAGGAATCTCAGGAATCTGCGTGCCTAATCCCAGTATTGTAACTCTCATAGTTTCCGAGATCTCAGCGTTCATACGGACAGACGGACAGACGGACAGACGGACAGACGGACAGACGGACAGACGGACAGACGGACAGACGGACATGGCTAGATCGACTCGGCTAGTGATCCTGATCAAGAATATATATACTTTATGGGGTCGGAAACGCTTCCTTCTGCCTGTTACATACTTTCCGACGAATCTAGTATACCCTTTTACTCTACGAGTAACGGGTATAAAAAGTGAACGAAAACTTTCGCTTTTCCTCTGCCGCTTAAGCCCTATATTTATGATCCAAAATAATGCAAGGGGATATTTCATCTTTGGGGCTTATCCCCTTGGCTAGCTGGCAATTTTAATCGAAATCGTTTGGCTGACTTTGTTTATCGAGGCTTTCTCTGGACGCATTTACCATTTACCTCGGATTGCGATTCGAACACTAAGTGATTTTTCATTGACTTTGTAATGCAAATTGCTTGTCTATCTTCGCCCCACTGTTTCATTTTGCTATTGGCAGGCTCTCTGGGCCTTTTATCACAGGAGGCCTGTGTTAAGGTCCCTTCAACGATTCGAAAGC